CGCTCTTCCCAAGCCAAGATGAAAAGCCTGAGATTGCAGCTTTGAAGATCAAAGTGATCTGACTTAACTACACTCAGATAGGAGGGAGTCGAGAATCATGTTTTGGATCGTGTTGTTGATTGGCTTATATCAGTCAGAGGGTCAGTGGTCCAGCTTTCTATGAAGTTAGCTTATAACTATTTGGGACAAGATTTCCGGGCATGGCCCAGTAATACCATCAGGGCCAGGTACCATCTCACTGGATCTCCAACATGCTGCTTTGTTGCTTATGTTGATTTGAAGATATTGTAGGCTGTCTCTCTTCACGTTTAAGAGTGAGAGTCCAATAGCACCTTAAAGACTAACAAAATTTGTGGCAGGGTATGAGCTTTTGTGGGTCACCACTCACGTCTTCAGATACAGCTAGAAGAAGTGAGCAGTGACTCATGAAAGCTCATACCCTACCACAAATTTTGTTAGTCTTTTTAGGTGCTACTGGACTCTTACTCTTCTCTATTGCTACAGACAGACTAACAGGACTACCCATCTTGTTCTCTCACTTCACGTATGTACATGTACACAGCAAGACAGATTTTATTATTTTATTGCATCTGTTTATTTTTGCCTTATGTTTAAGCCTGACCCACTTTTGAAAATATTTTCAATAAAGCCTGTGGTTTTATTGGTGTGTTCGACTGTCATGTGTGAGAACACAATCCCAGTCTCAGTCAAACTATCAGAAGGGAATTTGTTCCAGGGCCCTAGGTCCGAGGACAGGGGAATCAAATCATCCTTGCAAGGACATGGTGGGTCTTTGACAACCTTGGCAGATGCAAGGAAGGGCTTATGCCCCATCCAACCACAGGCTGAGTACTTTTGGGCATACCGAACATAAACCATGGCAGATTAAATTCTAACAATTCAATAAAGGCAGTGTTAAGACATACAACAGACAAAGCTAGTGACTTTCCACAGCCAGGAAGCAATTGCAGCTCACTTACCCTCCTCCTCCTCCCAGCCTGCCTCCTCGAAATGAACACTCTGCTCAGCCCGCTGCTTCAGAGCCTCCCTTCGAACTTCCTCCTGGGTGGAAAAGAATTCCGACAGCTGTGAGAAGCTGCTCCAGTGGGTCCCCCACTGATCAGCAAGGTGTCACATGGCTTCCTAGTGTCACAAGACTTTAAGGTATCCCTGCCATATGGGGAATGTGCCTTATTATGGAACAGGACCAGTGTGAGAAGGACATTCTGGAACTGTGATCTATGAACATTGTCAAGGTGGGGGAGCCAAACCGGAGCTGCACCTCTAGGGACAAGGCGAACCGAAAACAGGACAGAAGGGATGGAGACATAAAGCAGAAGCAGTGGCCTGGAGAAAGAGGCGGCATTCCTTCAAGGGTGCTGTCATGATCTGTGCAGGACTGGGAACAAGGCCTAGTGAAGCCAGGTCCCAGGAGAGACTTGCATGGCAGTGGAAAGCAGACATAGCCTACAATCCCCACAATGCTTAGCGACAGTGATAACCAATCAGTGTCCAGGGATTGTGTGAAGAGACTGTGAAAACTATGTGTGCTGAGGAAATTGTGTTCTTTCTCTTCTGTGGTCTTGTCTCCCACAGAGCTAAACTGAGGGGACAGTCTGGTCTGAGGAAAAGATCCCTCACTTGGGACAGGGTGAGTACAGGCAGGATGTCTGGTATAAGCGCTGTGGGCCTTGAAATAGTAACTAGTTAAGTGAAATAGGTAGTCGCATTAGATTCGTTTATTGTGCCTTTAAACACTGTTATATATTTTAAAGCACCGTATCTTGTTTTCCTTGCCTCAGTACTGTGTTAATAAACCATTTGTTTAAGTGTTCTCTGCCTGGTCATCACACCTATGTGCTTGACTTGAAAAGGGGCATTTTGGATGGGCTTGGGAGGGTACTCTGGGCCTTCTCAAGGGACCCAAAGTCCAGAGTGGTGACAGACGAAGGTGGCAACCCACTGGGGATCATGACATGGTGACTTTTAGCGGTGGGATGTGCCAGATGTTGACTTGGAGAGGCAGAGCATAATTGGTTTATTTATTTTTTTAAAGGATTTTTTCCCTCCTTCCCTTTGTCTGGCTTCAGGAAGCCACATTTTTTTAAGGTGCCGGTAAGACCAAGAAAAGGTCTAATAACAGTACTGTAAAGGGGTTTTATTTATTTCTAGCTGTCAGGTCAACTGGACAGAGAGGCTAGAGTTAGGCAGTGTATGTTCCTCCGTTCTGGAAGACAGAAGACAGGACACACCTGTGCCTAGTAGCAAGACCAGGGCAGGGGCTGCTGATCAGATGTCTCAGGAGAAAGCAGACGGAGAGATGGCAACCCCAAGTGCAGAGGTCTTGCGTCTCCAGCTGCAAATTAAGCAGATGGAACTTGAGAAAGAGGACAGGGCCGCTCAGAGAAAGCTGGAAAGGGAGAGAATACTGAAGGAAGAGAGACAGAGGGAGAGAGACAGGACAGCCCAGAGAGACCTGGAGCTGGAGAGAATGAGGATGGTGCATGAGCTTGAAATGGCAAAGTTGGAAAAAGAGCCACCTTCACTTCCTCTGGAGGCTGATGTACAAGGGGATAGAAGGAAATATCCTCTGTATAAGGAAGGGGATGACATCGAGGCCTTCCTTCAGAACTTTGAACAGGTCTGCATAGACTACAAGGTTCCCGAAGAACGGTATTGTCTTGGGTGATTTCAACGTCCATGCTGAGGACGCGGCCTCAAGCCGGGCTACGGACCTGGTGTCGTCCATGGCGGCACTGGGACTCTCACAGTTCGTATCGGCCCCCACGCATAGGGCTGGTCACATGCTCGATCTGATCTTTGCAGCGGGAGTGGAGGTGGACCGGATCACTGCCGAGGCAGTGCCATGGTCGGACCACCTGGTCCTGAAGGCCCGTCTGAGCATTCCACCCCAACCCTGTGTAGGCGGCGAGCGGATTTTTGCTCGCCCGCGGAGCCTTATGGACCCGGAGCGGTTCCAGAGGGCTCTGCGGGATCCGAGGCCCCCTGGCGGTTCGTTGGAGGAGCTAGTGGAGGACTGGCATGTCCGGCTCTCCACGGCCATCGACGTGATCACTTCCAGGCGTCCTCTCTGCACTCGTGTTAGGCGCGCCCCCTGGTATACCCAGGGGCTGCGGTTGCTGAAGCGAGAACTGAGACGACTAGAGAGATGGTGGCGGCGTGTTCGCGATGAGGCAACAAGAACATCTTATAGGACGTTTATGAGATCCTATGAGATGGCAGTTAAGGCTGCTAAGAAGGATTTCTATGCGGCTGAGATTGCGTCCGCGAGCTCGCGCCCGGCCCAATTATTTAGAGTAATTCGGAATATGACAACCTTGCCTCAGGGCAAACAAAATATTAGGGAATTGGACATCGGCTGTGAGGCTTTTGCGAGCTTTTTCGCGGATAAAGTCTTGGAGCTTCGCCGCGACCTGCCCGCCACACTTGAGACAGTGAGCGAACTTGAGGCCCCTTGCGCGTCCTCGGTAGCGGGTTTAGAGTGTTTTAATCAGCTCAGTCTGGACGAAGTGGACAGATTGCTCGTCTCTGTGCGCCCAACGACTTGCGACCTTGATCCGTGCCCCTCGTGGCTTGTTAAAGCGGGTCCCGAGGGGTTGCGAGGCACATTGCGGGATATTATCAACGGAGGGACGGTTCCCGAATGCGCTCAAGGACGCGATGGTCCGCCCCCTCTTAAAAAAACCATCTCTGGACCCGGCCGAATTGGCGAACTATCGGCCGGTGTCCAATTTGCCCTATTTGGGCAAACTTATAGAGAGGGCGGTGGTGTCACAGTTACAGGGCTTTCTGGAGGATGCTTCAGTCTTAGATCCCTTCCAGTCCGGTTTCTGCCCGGGCCACGGGACTGAGACGGCTTTGGTCGCCCTGACTGACAATCTCCGAAGGCATCTGGATCAAGGTGGTGTGGCGGCACTG